GTTCTTTTGGGCCTTAGCTCCCTCTCAAGCGCTGGCTAATTATAAAAGGAACTCTTTTTAAAAAAAAAATTATTATTTTTATTTTATGTATATGCGTGTATTGCCTGCATTAAGTAAGTGCACCCATGTCATGCAATGCCCTTGGAGGACAGAGGAGATTGTTGGATCCCCTGGAACTGGAGTTACAGACAGTTGTTAGCTGCCATGTGGGTGCTAGGATTTGAACCTGGGTCTTCTGCAAGAACAGCCAGTGTTCTTAACTGCTGAGCCATCTCTCCAGCCCCTAAAAGGAACTTTTAATTTGACCATCACTGTGTGGTGTTCCTCTGTGCCTCACACTTGCTATTATACTTGAATAGCCATTGTCTTACTTTGTGTGTGACTATTAGATAAGTCTTTTGGGATGTGAACAGACCCCCTTCTACCAACCGAAAGCTAAGATCTCTCAGATAGCATCTAATGTCTATAGCAGAGGTTTCCCCACTTTGCTGTAACTTACCTACCAGATATTGCCACCAATGTATTTGAAAAGTATGTTGATTTATGACTTTCTTTGTTCTGTTACTATAAGAACTACCAGTAATTAGAACTACCAGTAAACGGTTCAGAAAATACAGATGTGGTGCTAGGAGTGTAGCATACTTGTATCACACATACAGAGCCCTGGGTTCCACCCCAGCACCACCTAGAACTGAGTGTGGTAGTTAACACCTGTAATCCTAGCACTCAAGAGACAGAGGCAGGGAGACCATCCTTGAATCCTCAGCTAAAGCACATTGCAGATTATCTTCTTGGATCAACTCTTGTCTCAAGACCCAAAAAATTGGAACATTCAGACCATAAAGAGTAATCAAGAAAAGAAAATGTGATTAAGCAAAAGAGAAATCTGGGCTGAAGAGGGGGATTGGATTGTGTATTAAAGTCAAGATTCTAACCTATAGAATGAATATATATTAAAAGGGGATTGAGTTATAGATTAGTTTACATAATGTAATCTGGGTAGTCTAACAGTGGCTTGCTGTCTTCACACTGGAAAGGCTGAGAACCCAGTAGCTGCTCACTTCACAAAGCTGGATGCCTCAACAGTTTTAGTCTGGTGCTGAAGGCCCAGAGAATTCCTGGAGCACCAGCAGTCCTCAGTTCACATTGGAAGGTCAAAGAAGCTGGCTCTGACGTCAGTAAAGGATGGCCATAACAGCTGCAACAGCTTAGATAAACTCAACATGATATTATGGCAGACAAGCAGAAGGCAAGAGCTTTTCCTTTGGACCTCCTTGTATCTGGGCCACCATTAAAGGTGATGCCCGTATTCTCACTTCAGTTATTGTAATCAAGAAAATACATTACAGGTGTGCCCAGAGGCCTGTGTGATTCTAGATCATGTAAAACTGAAGTGGGAAGACCTACTCTGAATGTGGGCAGCACCTTTAATGATGACCCAGATATAAAGAGGTTCAAGGGAAATGCTCTTGCCTTCTGCCTGCTTACTGTAGTGTCCTGTTGAATTTATCTATGCTGTTGCAGCTACTGCCAACATCCTTAATGGTACTAATATACCATTAAGATAAATCATCTACCTAGAGAGGGGTTAACCCAGTGATCTCTACAGAGACAGAGACAGACACACACAAAGGTAAGCCCAGTGTTCTTAACTTCTGAGCCATCTCTCCAGCCCCCATTTTTTAAACTTTTTACTTTAAGAGTGGGTCTTACTAAGTTGCTCAGGCTGACCTTGAACTTTTTTTATAATTTTTTTTATATATATGAATATTTTGCTTGCATATATGCACCCATGTATGCAATACCCATGGAAGGCAGAAAAAGGCGTTGGATCTCCTGGAACACAATTTATAGATTGTTGTTAGCCACCGTAGGGGTCCTGGGAACTGAACCCAGGTCTTCTGGAAGAGCAGCCATTTCTCTAGCCCCTGACCTTGAACTTTTGATCCTCCTGCCTTAGCCTCATAAATAGCTGGAATTACAGGCCTATACCACCAGGCCTAGCTAGATCAGATGACAAATGGAATTTGTAGAGGGGATTTTCTTTTCCTAGTGATATTCAAACTATACTCATAGTTATTAGATACTAATAATTTCCCTTTCAGGGCCAGGCATGGTGGTACATGCCTTTAATCCCAGCACTCAGGAGACAGAGGCATGTGAATATCTATGAGCCTGAGGTCAGCCTAATCTACATAGAGTTCGAGGCCTGCCAGGGCTACATAGTGCAACCCTGTCTCAATCATTCAATCAATCAATATAACTATTAAAAAAAATAAGGGGCTGGAGAGATGGCTCAGTGGTTAAGAGCACTGGCTGTTCTTGCAGAAGACCCAGGTTCAAATCCCAACACCCACATGACAGCTAACAACTGTCCATAACTCCAGTTCCAAGGGATTCAACGCACTCTTCTGTCCTCTGAGGGCACTGCATATGACATGGGTGCACTTATACACATGCAAGCATAACACTCATACACATAAAAATAAACCAAAAATTTTTTTAAATAAATAAAATATTTTAAAAATAATAAATAAGGGGCTGGAGAGATGGCTCAGTGGTTAAGAGCACTGATTGCTCTTGCAGAGGACCCAGGTTCGATTCCCAGCACCCACATGGCAGCTATGAACCATCCTTAACTCCAGTTCCAGGGGAATCCGAAGCCCTCTTCTGACCTCTGCATCATTGCACGACAAGGGTGCACTCACATACGTGCAGGCAATACACTCATACACATAAAATAAAAATAATGAATAAAATATTTTTTTTAAATTGCTAATTTCAAAATTTACCCTTAACAGGGCTGGTGGCATAGTCCCAGGAACACTTGCCAAACATGCTCAAAGCCCTGATTTCATCCATCCTGGCCACTCTTGCAAAGGACCTGAGTACCCAGAATACCAAAAAGAAAAAAATTTCATTTATTTTTATCTTTCAATGTGTTTCAGTGTTTTGCCTGCACGTATGTAAGTGTACCCTCATCATGCAATACCCATAGATACCAGAAGTGGGTGTCAGATCCCTGGAACTTGAGTTATGGACGGTTGCTAGCTGCCATGTAGTGCTGGGAACCAAATGCAGGTCCGCTGCAAAAGCAGCCAGCACTCTTAACTGCTGAGCCATCTCTCCAACCCTGAAAATTTGTGTCTTTGAAACTGAAGGGCAATCTTCTGATTTGATGGTTGTCGGCCCTTGAGAGTGTTTTTCCAGTTTCCAGGCAGCCTTTCTCCTGTACTCTGTTGGTATGAAGCTCCAGGCATGGCTTTTGAATGACTGAGAGGGTGAACATGGGCCCTGAGAAGTTCTTTTTCTTCATAATTGCAGAATGATTCAAAAGAATGGATTTCAGAGCCAGAAGGAACGTCGGAAACTATTTATGAATAAATTGAGGCTCAGAAAGGTCAATGGCATGGCTGTGGATTACCAGTTTATTGGTTGTATGACCTTGAAGTAGCAAAAAAAAAAAATGTAGGGAAAGAACAAGTCAGCCAGAGACTGCTATTAATTTGTTATGTACCCTTGAACAAGTGTGCTGGATAGCTTTAGCTGTCAACTTGACACAATTGAGTAGAGGACGCCTCAATTGGGGAACTGTCTCTATTGGACTGGCCTGTGGCCATGTCTATAGGGTATTTTCTTGTTTTTTGAATGATTTGGGAGGGCCCAGCCCACTGTGGGCAGTGCCACCCCTGAGCAGGTTCTGTATTGTATAAGAAAGCAGGCTGAGCATGGACCAGGGGAGCAAGCCAGTAAGCAATATGCCTCCATGGCCTGTGCTCTAGCTCCTGCCTCCAGGTTCCTGACCTGTTTCTATCTTGGACTCTCTAAGTGATGAACTGTGTGTAAGATAAAATAAACTGTAATAGTTACTTTTCTGTTGCTCTGATAGAAACACTGACCAAAGCAGTTTATAGAAGGAGGAATTTATTTGAGCTTATGGTTCCAAAGGGGCAACATTCCATCATGGTGGGGAGGCATGGTGGCAGAGGTAGCTGGAGGAGTGGAGGAGTGGAAGCTAAGCTCTTATATCTTCAAGCAGGCCCAGGAAGCAAGAGAGCAGCTGGAGATCCGGCAAGACTTAAAAACTCTCTAAGCCCACCCCCCAGTGATGTGCTTCCTCCAGCATAGCCACACCTTCTGAGACCTTCCAAAACAGCGCTATCAACTGGTGACAAAATGTCCACAAATACTTGGAGCCTTATGGGGGACATTCTCATTCAAATCACCACATAAACCCTTTCCTTCCCAAGTTGGTATATGTCAAAGTGTTTTGTCAAAAACTAGAACAATAAATCTATTTCATCCTTTTATTAGCTGGTCTAAAATTTACCTTCCCAGGGCTGGAGAGATGGCTCAGCAGTTCTTAAGAGCACTGGCTGCTCTTGCACAGGACCTGGGTTTGGTTCCCAGCACTCACATAGCAGCTAACAACTGACATAACTCCAGTTCCAGGGGACCGAACGCCCTCTTCTGACTTATTTGGGCATTGTACAACACAAGTGCACTAATATACATGCAGGCAAGACACTCATACACATTAAAAAAAAGAAAAAATCCAAAACCTTTTTTGAAAAAATTTACCTCCTAGCACACAAATTCCATAGATTCAGTGGCATCTATACCTAGTAACTGTGTTAATAAATGGCCTTAATCACTGAGCCTAGTTTTTCCCTTTTGTGCTACTGAGGATTGAGGCTTTATGCATGCTATGCATGCTAGGCAGAGTCTACTGTTTGACCAACCTGTCTAGTTTTTATCTATAGGAAATGCTATTGTTTTGTTGTTTTTATACAAGGTCTCTGTAGCCTAGGCAGACTTCAAGCTTACCCTACTCTGCCCCAGCCTCTTGAGTGCTTGGAGTTTCAGGCTATCACATCTGGCTTGTTGCTTTTTAAGTATTCTCTGCTCCCTTATCTGCATATTGCTTGAACTTTATGTTGGGGAATCATTTTTTTAAATATGATTCTAATTTTTTATATATTTTTCCATTTGCTTTATAGAAAGAAGGACTTTCTAAATTCAACAAGATTTATGAATTTGACTATCATCTATATGGGCAGGTAGGTACTAAAATGTTTCTATCATAAAGCTGATGTGTAAGACAAGCCCGGTGGCTCACACCTATAATTGTAGCATTTAGGACCTAAGGCAGGAGTGATCACTGTGAGTTAAACCAGCCAGAACTACATAGTAAGATCTTTTTTCAAAATCAAAAGAGGGGGCTAGACTGATGCCTCAGCGGTTAAGAGCACTCACTGGCTACTCTTGCAGAGGAACTGGATTCAGTTCTCAAGACCCACTTGGCTGCTAACAACCATCTGTAACTCTAGATGACTCAGCAAGTAAAACCCCTGCTGCCAAGCCCGAGGACCTGAGTTCCATTCCTGGAACCCGCATGCTGGAAGGAGAGAACCAACTCCTAAAAGTTATCTTCTAACCTGCATATTCTCCTCCTCCCCACTCTTTCTCAAGTAAACATAAAAAACTTTAAAATTATTTTTTTTTATTTTTATATGTATACGAGTGTTATGCCTACATATATGTAAGTACACCCCTGTTGTACATTGTCCATGGAGGACAGAAGAGGGTGTTGAATCCCCTGGAACTGTAGTTACAGATGGTTGTTAGCCACAATGTGGGTGCTGAGATTCAAACCTGGGTCTTCTGCAAGAACAGCCAGTGCTCTTAACTGCTGAGCCATCTCTATAGCCCCATAAAAAACATTTTTAAGGAAAAAAAGCTAACGTGCTTCTAAGATCCCAGGTACTCCCTAAATTGCTTATGTTTTAGTTAATTAATTCAGAATTAGTCAACCTATCTGTATGTAAAATGTCACTGTCTTTTTTTGTTTGTTTTTTGAGAAAGAGTATCCCAATAGTCCCAGCTGGCCTAGAACTAGCTATGTAGACCAGGCTGTCCTCCATCTCACAGAGATCGGTCTGCCTCTCTCTCCCAAATGCTGGGATTAAAGGTGCCACCATGCCCAATCCAAATGTCAATGTTTTAAGAATAACTTTTTATTATGTAAAGGTATCTGGTTATAGGTGTTCTTTTTGGGTTTTTTAGATAGACTCTAATGAAATCTAGGATAGCCTCAAACTTGCTATATAACTGAGAATGACCTTGAATTACTGATCCTTCTTCCTTTACCTCCCAAGTGCTAGGATTACAGGCATGCATGATCATACCTGGTTTATGCAGTGCTGGAGACTGAACTTAGGGCTTTGCTGCTAGGCAAGCATTCTACCAACTAATAATTTTTTTTAACTTTATTGAGAATTTCATACATGCATATAAGGTGTTTGATCAAATCCATGCCCACTCCCTCCCCTCCAACACGTCCCATATCTCCCTCTCGCTTTTTTCTGACAACTTTCTGTTCCCTCCCTCCCTACCTTCCTTCCTCCCTCCCTTCCTTCCTGTGGGGCTTTTTACTATTCTAACATTCCCCCGCTCTGAAGAGGAAACCCTAAAATCTTTTAGGGATTAGATAAGAGCTCCCAAATACTTTTGACATTTTTGGTCTTTGGCACAGAGTATGTTGCTAAGAGGCCCGAGGACATTTTGACTTTTAGCTAAGAAAATGGTTACTTTTCTTTGGAGTCTTTTTACCCTAACTGCCTAGCCAATTCCTACTTCCTATTATCATACCATCCTTTGAAGAGGTTACCCAAATTGCCAATAGGGAATCAGGATGCAGACCACTCTGGCTTCTTCCATGCTGAACAGGGATGCAGGGTAAGGCAATTGGAGTACCCCTTCAGTGGGTCTATCTAAAAGACTCCCAAATTGCATCATTCTTATCACCACATGGGGGCAGGATCAAGGCGCTCTCAGGCAAGTCCCCTGAGTTCTCAGCCCCTATGCCAGAGGGAGGCTGGAACAGGCACTCTGGCGGTTTCCCAACTGATAATTTTATAACATGAAGAAGTCTCTTTTTAATAGTATATGGTCCCGGGGGCTGGAGAGATGGCTCAGCAGTTAAGAACACTGTTCTTGCAGAAGTCCTGGGTTTGAATCCCAACACCCACATGGCAGCTAACAACTGTCCATAACTCCAGTCCCAGGGGATCCAGCAGCCTCTTCTGACCTCTGAGGGCATTGCACAACACGGGTGCACTTACTTACATGCAGGCCTAACACTCATACACATAAAATGAAAATAATAAATAAAATATTTTAAAAAATAGTATATGGTCCCATCTCAGCTGTTTAACAAGAAAAAAGCTAATATCCAGCAGTTCAGGACCCTCGGGTCCCCACCATATGAATTCCAACCCTGTCTTAGACATGATGGAATACCAGATCTCCAACTAAGTACTTCACCACTGACTTATACTTCCCCTGTCCTCAAAGACATTTTACATGATCCAAAAGGTATTAGAATGGTGATTTGAGGTTTGAAGAGTTATTTATGTTTATTTTTTCTCAATCAGTTATTTTTGCTTTTAGTTTTGATTTTGTTCTTTCTTTCCTTTGAATGATGTAGCAAAATGTAACTACAGAAAGACTAACTTTAGTTTTATTGTTATTCAGAATGTTACTATGATAATGACTTCAGTTTCTGGACATTTGCTGGCTCATGATTTCCAGATGCAGTTTCGGAAATGGTCAGTACAATTAGTAGGGGAAAGACTTTCTGATTATTACAGTAAGTTGTGAAAAATATTATCATGTAATTTGTAGTAATTTGTAATACTAAATGTACCTAGGATTATCTGATCTATTATACATTTTTATCATACCTTTTGAATAAATATTCACTTTTAAGTGTTCCCCCAAATAAACCTTTTTCATGCATTCTTTGGATTGCATTTATCCTGTTGCAGATGTGGATGACAGGGCTCCAGGTTTCTTCTCAGCAGCTCTTACTAATCTTCTTTGTAGAGTGGACGGTGTGCTATGCAGAAAGTCATAGCTTTACTTTTAATCCTCTTGCAGGTTTTCCTTTTTTCTCCCTTTTGAGATAGTGTCTTTTTCTCATCTTTGTGACTAGGCTTCCCAAGTCTGACATGTGCTGCCATATCTGGCCTCCCCTCTACCCCCCTTTTCTTTTTGAGCCATTGTCTGCTCTTGCCCAGACTGACTTTAAATTCTTGGGTTCAAGTGATTCTTCAGCCTCTACCTCCTATGTAGCTAGGACTCCATGGGTATTCCCCCATTCCCCAGCTTCTCTGGGTCATTTCCTGTGGGATTCTGCTGTACATGCTCCTTAGTATGGAGGGCTTTTCCACATGCTGAAGTAAAGTTCTTTGTGTTTCTATTTCTTTCCTAGGCAGAGCTGCAATCCCCTTGTCCTCTTTGAAGCAGAAATTGAAAAGTACTGCCCAGAAAATTTTATAGACATCAAGGTAGAATCTTTGGAAGATATGTGACACTGAAGTTGAAGCGTCCACAAGTCTGAATTGAATGATCTCTGTGTTTTTAAACTTTTTAAAAAATTTTTATTTATTATTTTTATGTGTATGCCTGTATTGCCTGCATATAGTACGTGTACCCATGTTGTGCAATGCCTGAGGAGATCAAAAGAGGTTGTCGGACACCCTGGGACTGGAGTTACGGACAGTTGGTAGCTGCTGTGGGTGCTGGGATTCAGGGTAGCTGCTGTGGGTGCTAGGATTCCAACCCAGGTCTTCTGCAAGAACAGTGTTCTTAATTACTGAGCCATCTCTCCAGCCCCCAATTTTTGTGCTTTTAATGCATTGGAATTTCAACATAGTTTTCCATCAAATGCAGTATGATTTTAAAAAGTTATTCCCACTTAGTGTATAAGTGTTTTGTTTTTGTTTTGTAAAGTCTGGGTCTTAACATTTAGGCCTGACTAACCTTGAACTATAACAGATACATAGCCCAGGCTGGCATGACCTTGCAAAGATCCTCCTGTCTTTGCCTCCCAAGTGTGCCACCACATCAGGCTAAATAAGGCTTTTTTTTTTTTTTTTTCCGGTCTTTTTGAGACAGGGTCTCCCTGTAGCCCCAGCTGTCCTGGAACTCGCTATGTAGACCAGGCTGGCCTTGAACTCACAGAGATCCGCTTGCCTCTGCCTCCCAAGTGCTGGTATTAAAAGCTTGCGCCACCACGCCCGACTGGCCTTTTTTTTGAGACAGGATCTCACTATGTAGCACTGGCAGGCCTGGAACTCCATCTACCTCTGACTCCTAAGTGCTGGGATTAAAGGTGTAGACCAAGTGTTCAAGAAGCTAAAGCCTTTTTTTTTTTTTTGGTCTTTTTGAGACAGGGTCTCCCTGTAGCCCCAGCTGTCCTGGAACTCACTATGTAGACCAGGCTGGCCTTGAACTCACAGAGATCCGCCTGCCTCCGCCTCCCAAGTGCTGGGATTAAAAGCTTGCGCCACCATACCAGGCTTGCCTTTTTTAAATGGTTAGTGTAGTCAGTAGTAAATCCTCGGAATAAATGTTAATTCTAGCCCCCATCTCATTCTTAGGTAAACAATAGATGATTAAAAGTAAGGTGGGACATGGTAGCTCACACCTTTAGAGGTTTACTTCTGAGGCAGAAGCAGGTGAGATTAAGGCCAACCTGGTTTACATAGGAAATTCCAGGCCAGCTGGGGCTACAGGGAGACCTTGTCTCAAAAACAGAAAAACAAAAAAAAGTAAATTTTCAGGCTGTGGTGATGCACAAGAGGCAGAGACAGGTGGATCTCTGTGAGTTCAAGCCCAGCATAGTCTGCACACTGAGTTTCAGGCCAGCCAGGGATCATACTGAAATCCTGTCTCAAAAAGAGAAAAGTAAATTAAGCCTTTAATCGCAGTGCTTGGGAGGTAGTGGCAGGATGATTTCTGTGAGTACAAGTCCAGCCTGGTCTACATAGTGAGTTCCAGGCCAGCTGGGGCTACAGGGAGACCCTGTCTCAAAAAGACCTAAAGAGAGGTAAATTGTCAAGCCAGTGAAAGTCTGGTAACCTGAGTTCAATCCCTGGGACTCAAGTAAAAGTAGAAGGAGCGCTGGGGAAATAGTACATCTTCACATCCTGCTTTTCCAGAGGATTTGAGTTCAATTCCCATCACCCACATTGGGCAGCTCTAAGGGATCCAGCATCTTCTGGCTTCTCTGGGCACCTTCACACTTGTGTCATTCACTCATGTAGACACAGATACACATGCACGTAAATAAAAACAAAATTTAAAAATAATTTTTTAAAAGGTGAAAGGACAGAACCAACTCCACAAAGTTATCCACTGATAACTTTTGTGTTCTCAGTACCTATAGTTAGTATACTGCTAACTGAGAAACTTTCTTAGGTTGAAACTCACAACCAGGCCTGTGAATGTAGCTCAGTTTGTAGCGTACTTTCCTAGTATGCATGAAGCCCTGGGCTCAATCCCCATACTACATAAACCAGGTGTGGTAGCACACACCATAATCCCAACACCGGGAAGGTGGAAGCAGGAGGATCATAGTTCAAGACTGTCCTCATTATGTAATAAGTTTGGGGCCAAAACTACATGAGACCTATCTGGTAGTGGGTGGGGGTCCCAGGAGGGAGGAGCTAGTTCAGTGCACTAGCACTTTTGTCAGATCCAGTGGTAGTAGAAATATGTTTCATCATATTGGTGAAGTTGTATGAAACCCTCACTCTTTATAAACTCACGAGTCTGAAGAATTGTGCAGTGACTGTGCCATCATTAGTTATTATGAGCAGTTTTCTTCACTCTTTTTTCCCCCTCACAAATTTGCATCACTTCTAGAACAGCACCGATCCTCAGATTTCTTGGTGGATTTTCTTTTTAATTTTTATTTTATGTGTATGAATATTTTGCCTGCGTGTAAGTGCTCTCTAGCATGCAACACCATCAGAGGCCAAAAGAGGGAGTCATTCCCTGGAACTAGAGTTATGGACCATTGTGAGCTGCCCTGTGGATGTTGAGACTTGAACCTGGCTCCCCTACAAGAGCAACCAGTGCTCTTACCTGATGAGCTATCTCTCTATCCCCTTCTTGGTGAATTTTTGTTTTTTTGTTTTGGGTTTTGGTTGGTTGGTTGGTTGGTTGGTTGGTTGGTTGGTTGGTTGTCATTCTGTAACCCAGGCTGACCCGTGACTCACAGCAGTTCTTCCTCAGCTTCCAAGTGCTAGGATTACAGACATGGGCCATGTTGCCTGGCTAAGTCAGATTTCTTTAGTGTAGAGATGCCAAGTAATCACCCTGGATTGTGTTCTCACTGTGCTTTCCCCTTTTCAGAAAACCCTGGAGCGAGAGACACAGCAGTGCCAAGCATTGGTGATCTGGACTGACTGTGACAGAGAAGGTGAAAACATCGGGTTTGAGATTATCCATGTGTGCAAGGCTGGTGAGTCTCCCTGTTGTTGAACTTCTCTATTTTGGAACCTTTAAGTGGCCTGTCACCAAGTTTCTCCACACATGCACTCTCTCCTGAATCAGCTTTTGAGTTGCATGTCTATGTGTCCTGGAGTAGATCACTGAACTTTCCAGAACCTCAACCTCATCTATCATGTCAACCCATCTTACATGCTTTCTAGGGCTGCCATGAGGATTAAACAAGTCAGCATTAAATAAGGGGGGGAGGGGGGTGCATTTGTGTGTCCAAGTGGAGAGAATCAGCTTCTCAACTTGTCCTCTGACTTCCAGACCAATGCATACCCTATGCATCATACACACATACATACAGTCATTTTTTAAAAGAATTTTTTTTTTTTTTTTGGTCTTTTTAAGACAGGATCTCCCTGTAGCCCCAGCTATCCTGGAACTTGCTATGTAGACCAGGCTGGCCTTGAACTCACAGAGATCCCCCTGTCTCTGCCTCCCGAGTGCTGGGATTAAAGGCATGCGCCACCACGTCTGGCCTTAAAAGAATTTTTTAAAACTCTTTAACTGACAGAGTTGTTATTTTTCCTAAAAGTCAAAAAAGCCAAGTAAGATTAGTCTCAGAAGGTTCACATAAAGCATTTTAGTACATCACTAAAATTGACTCCACTGTTATTTCTGACAAGACTGAAGTGAAAGGTTAAAATGATGCAACTCTTTGATATTGTATTCCATTAATTTAAATTTGAGGTGAAAAGCAAGCTAGCTTCTTACCTGATAGTTTAGGAAAAGCAGTCCCTCTGTGCTGGGGTATAACATGATTAAATATGACATCCATATTCCCTTCTACTCTTCAGTGAAGCCCAGTCTGCAAGTGTTGAGAGCCCGTTTCTCTGAGATCACGCCAAATGCTGTCAGAGCAGCCTGTGAAAACCTGACTGAGCCTGATCAGAGAGTAAGCGATGCCGTGGATGTGAGGCAAGAGCTGGATCTGAGGATCGGTGAGGAGCCAGATGGGCCTGCTCATGACCCAAGTGGCATCTTAGTGTTAGGTTATGGAACCAAAAATAATTTTATCCTCCATCACTTTCTCATTGCTTTCTTCTTTCCACCCTCCCTTTCCAGGAGCTGCCTTCACTAGGTTCCAGACCCTGCGGCTTCAGAAGATTTTTCCTGAGGTTCTGGCAGAGCAGCTCATCAGCTATGGAAGCTGCCAGTTCCCAACACTGGGGTTTGTGGTGGAGAGGTTCAAAGCTATTCAGGCTTTTGTGCCAGAAATCTTCCACAAAATTAAAGGTAAAGCTGCAAGTTTCTTGGTATGAGAGCTCTAGGCCCAGAGATAATGAAGGGAGACTGTGGAGCTAAGTAAAATGTGATGATTTTTCAGTTTTGCTATCCCTTCACTCTACACCATTACAATATTCAGAATCTACTTAAACATTCCTTACTTATCCAGAACTCCTGCCCAGATCATTATCCTTTGATTTTTCACTGTAATATACCATTTCCTGTCTCTCTTATGGTGGCTTCTATGAGATAGCCTCTTTCTCTCTCCAATACAGTAAGTCATGACCACAAGGATGGGACGGTAGAATTCAACTGGAAAAGACATCGTCTCTTCAACCACACAGCTTGTCTTGTCCTCTATCAGCTATGTATGGAGGTAAGGAGTCCTTGAGAGCTTAGTGATCCAAGAAGTACTCTGCACACTCCCGAGCAATGCCTTCTCTCTTTGGCAGAGGTGATCCTGCCTTATGCCCCATTGAATTATGCTTGTTGCTCCCCTGGGGTCTACAAGGTGATTCAGTCCTTAAAGGTGGCTGACACCAAGCCTAATAATCTGAATCCAATCCTGGGGACCCACATGGTGGAAAGAGAGAACTGACTCCTGAAAGTTGCCCTATCTACCATGTGTGCCTGCATTAAGGCATGCACATACAGACACACATGCACACATAGGCACACACACACGCATGCACACAATGCAATTTTTTAAAAAATTGCATCTCTGGGCATCACTTTTGGGGAAACCAGCCAGACTAGAGCCCCGTGGAAATAGCACTGAAAGTGTACAAAGGAGTTGATCATGATGGTGCATCCTTGTAATCCCAGCTCTCAGGAGGCTGAGGCAGGAGAATCACCCCAAGTTTGAGACTAGCATTGTCTACATAGTGAGACTCTCAACCCCTCCCCCAAAAGTGCAAGTGTTAGAAATTAATGGGCATTCATAGAAAGATGCTGACATGAAATTATCCTTCAAAATGAGCTTTTTTTTAAAGCATAGTGGTGCATGGCTTTAATCCCAACACTCTAGAGGTAGAGGTGACTCTCTGTGACTTCAAGGCCAACCAGGGCTGCATAGTAAGACTCTGTCTCAAAAAACAAACAAAAAGCCAGAATGAGCTCTAATAAAGGAGAGTTGGAGACTCATAGCCACAGCCAGCCATGATGAGGCTCTAACAATAGGAGAGATAGAAGCATGATGGGGTCTTGAAAAGAGAGTTCTGAGTTCTGGAGACAAAGGAGGTGTCTGGTTGTTGCCACATGATCTGGCCTGGCCTAGCTTACATGCCAGGAGTCACAAGGCAGAAAGGCACTGACAAGTGACAAGTGGGGCTATAATTCAAAGTTAGTCCTGCGCAGCAGGGAGGAATCTAGACTTGCCTTGTGGGTGCAGGCACACATAAATACTTGAGGCCTAAGTGCTCCAACAGTCACAGCTGGAGCTTGTCAGTTCTTTGTCCTAAAGAACTACAGCAAGGAAAGCTGAGTATGATAGTGTCTACCTGTATCCTAACACTTGGACAGTAGAGATAGATCAGTTCTACTCCATTCTAGGTGAGTTTGAGACCATCCTGGGCTACATGAGACCCTGTCTCTAAATAAAGTCAGATTTTTTTTTTTTTTTTTTTTTTTTTTTTTTTTTAAAACCTGTATCCTCACTTGGACAGTAGAGATAGATCAGTTCTACTCCATTCTAGGTGAGTTTGAGACCATCCTGGGCTACATGAGACCCTGTCTCTCTATGTATATGTGTGTGTGTATGAATAAATAAATAAACAAATAAATAAAATGAATAAACTATTAATGGACCCAATTTGGTAGGCAAGATAATGTACCCCCAAAAGATAACCAGATCCTAATTCCTCAGACCTGTAACTGTCACCTTATGTGACAAAAGGGTCTTTGCAGGTATGATTAAGTTGGCATCATAAGTGAGCTAACATCATGGGAATTTGAGATGGGAAGTCAGTCCTGCATTACCCTCCTGGCCCTGTGTCATCACAAAAGGCCCTAAAAGAGGGAGGTAACAGATACACAGACAGATACGAGATGGAGCCGAGATCCCAGGGGTGCAGAACCACAAACCAAGACATGCTCTACAGGCTGGAACCAGCTCAGGGAATGGATTCATCCTTAGAGCTTCCAGAAGCCTTCCAATGACTATGCTTTAGCCTCATGAAACTGAGTTTGGATTTCTGACTCTTAGATGTGTGAGATAATAAATCCGAGTTGTTGTAAGTCACTACATTTGTGGTAATTTGTTACGGTGCAATAGAAAACTAATTCTCCATAACTTGGATGGATCTCAAAGGCATATGCTCAGTGGGAAAAGTCAATCCCAAAAGGTCACATACTGTATAATTCCATTTATATGTCATTTTTGAAATAGCAAAATTATAAAGATTGAGAACAAATTAGAGGTTACCAGCGATTAGCAACAGTGTGGTGCATGTCACATTAAAGGGGCAACATAAGTGGGTCTTTCAGCAGTGGGACAGTTCTGCATCATGATCATGCAAGTGGTGATAGGAATCTAGACCTGTGATAAGATGCTGCAGAACTGGACATTCACATTGCACTGAGGTCTAGTTTCTGGTATTGATATTGTGCTGTAGTTATGTAAGATATAACCAGTGAGGTTATGGATGTAGTTCAGTTGGAAGAGTGCTTACCTAGCATGCATAACACCCTGGGTTCAATCCCCAGCACTGTGTATACCAAGCGTGGTGGAATCTATCTTTCTGATATTTCAGCACTGAGAAGTGGAGGCAGGAGGATCAAATGTTCAAGGTCACCCTCTGCTACATAGCAAGCTTGAGGCCATTTTAGTCTATATGAGACCTTGTCTCAAAAAAAACAATATATATATATATGAAATCAATGAGGAAGCAGTGATGGGTACATAGGACACTCTCTGCTGTCTTTG